TTTTACTATATACTAATAGTAATTACAAATTACAATTTGTTGCAATATTGAACGATTAATTCTAAAGAAATTAGACAAACTTCTTCTCGGTCACCAAAACCTGGTGCTACTCATGACTGTGAAATCCTCACTGTGGATTCTTTACAAAATATTGTAGACTTATCCATTCACAAATCAGTTTCATCTGCAATTTATACTGCAATGTCTTCCATGCAAGAAGCAATTGCAAAGTCTGTGGCTCAGGCCATAAGCAATTCAAAACCAAGTGATAAGACTCACTTAATTAATACTCCTTCAGCCTAATTCTGGTCACCTGTGGAATTTAGCTCAGGGATTCATGAGGTCTGTGAAGGCCACCCAGAAATACAAACTTTGACTGTCCTTTTGAATCCCCTGGCTGTGCCAAGTCACATAAGATGGGGAAGGACCAATATCAAAACAAAATGAGTGTCTCATGCAAAACTGAACAGTGCAATCAACCACCCAAAAGACCCTCTGCTCGTGAGGAAGACAGACAAGATCGAAAGACAATTCACAGTAGCAAACCTGACTCCTATAAAACCTCCTCGAATGATGACTCATCTTCAAGCTCAGAAGATTAAAAATTGGAATCTGATTCTGCCTCAAATTATTAATCTGTTTCAGAGGCACCTGAGCTTCTCTCTAAATCTGATTAAGGGAATATTATAATGCAAAATCATTATTTCACCCAGACAATATTAAGCACCCTAGGTAAGTCGAATGGGTCCCCATGGCTTATGTAGCCAAATATCTTGAATAGTGGTTGAGGAAACCCCATGACCAAGTGGCTAGAAATAAGCTAGGAACTAAATGCCCAAGACCGACTTTGTCTAAGAAAGTCACACAGACCCCTCGATCCCACTGTTGTGCAATTTTTAACAAAATCAGGGAAGAACTCAAGTAAAGGACTTGACAGATCAGTAAAATCTTGTCAAGATAAATTAATGGACATATCTGGTCCCGTGGCAAAAATGTTTGAGACTTTAGACAAGCTGCAGCTTCTGGAATTCCTCCCAGCATTGATATTTTGAGAGGTTGGACCCAACGCATTGTATGCTTTTTGGGGAATGCTAAAGCAACTCTGACCAGTGAACGCTGCGGGTCTACTTTAATGAAAATTTACCCTCAGTTGTCGAATTTAGCCACTTCTGAACCTGGACCAGTTGCTGAAGGTCTCCAATTCGGAGAATCCTTTATTAAAGATATTAATAAATATGTCAATTTATTTAGCTCCCTTGATAAGGCTCAGTCATCTATCAGGAAAGTATTCAACCCTAAGATTTTGGAAGGGCTGCAAGAGGAAGGAACCGCTTTTCCAGCCGCTCCTTTCAACATAGACAAGGAACATCTTCCAGCCCACCAGGCCCTCGTATGATACCCACCGAACAACTCCATTCTTCGCACTATGTGGAAGACCCCAGAGCTCAAGAGGCCATCAGGGAATGTCTCACTTTAGATCTTCATCCGGTAAGTACAACAATTCCCCTTTCTTCCCTAGAAGGGTTAGGAGGCAGACTCACTCGTTATTTCCATGTTTGGAGTCAGATTACAAACAATTCTTGGATACTAGACACAGTTCTGGGATACAAAATAGATTTTATATCATATCCCATTCAAAGAAAAAGTACCTTTCCCGGGAACATCCAAGACCTTACTCTGGTCCATCAAAAAATGCAATCATACAGGTGCCCATGAGCAGTCCAGGCTTCATAAGCAATTTATTCTTGGTGAACAAGAAAGATACTGGTCACATACCAGTCATAAATTTTAAATATTTAACCCCTTAAGGACCAAACTTCTGGAATAAAAGGGAATCATGACATGTCACACATGTCATGTGTCCTTAAGGGGTTAAACAATTTTGTCAGATATTATTATCTCAAAGACCTATTGATACACAACGACTGGTTGATCAAAATAGATTTGAGGGATGCGTCCCTCATGGTACCTATTCACCATTCATGTCAGAATTATTTACAATTCATATGGGAAGGGAAGAAATGGAAATTCAAATCATTGCCATTTTGTCTATCCTCTGCATCTTGGTGTTTCACCAAATTGCTCAAACCAGTAGTATCCCTACTTCGAAGCAGGGGAGTGAGAATTATAATCTATCTAGACGACATATTGATTATGTCACAGAGTGTGCAAACTCTTCAACTACATTCTTAATGGACATTGAATCTGTTAACAAGCCTTGGCTTTGTAATAAATTATGAGAAATCGGCTTTAACGATTTTTCTGGTTCCCTTCACTACCGGGTCCTTCAAAGATTAAAAAGAGAACATCTACACAATGATCTCCTTTTATTCAGACGAGATCTCTTTGACTCTAGAGACAAGAACAGAACTATTCTGGTGGTCAGATCACGTTCAAATTTGGAACGGGAAAGCCATTTTCCCTTAATTCCCAGATCTGATTATAGAATCCGATGCGAGTCAAGTAGGCTGGGTAGCCCATTGGAGGCAAGTCTATGGGAGGTAAATGGTCTCTAGAAGAGTATAAGTATGCATATAAACTGCCTGGAACTCATGGCAGAATTTTTTGCTCTACGCAGCTTTGCGAAACAAAAATCTCATTGTTGTATTCTTCTCAAGATGGACAACATATCAGCAGTCCAATACATAAATCGCTTAGGAGATACAAAATTCAAGCAACTGGCAGACATTGCCAAAGATTTTTGGCACTTTTGCTTTGATCGAAACAGCAGAATATCTTCCCAGCCTCTTCATTCCAATACAGTAGCAAATTGGAATTCCCATTTCCAGTGACTGGATGTTGGATCCCAGTATCTTTTAATGACTACTTTCCCTGTGCGGTCCGTTTCCATACGAACTCTTTGCATCTCGACTCAATCGCCAATTGGAAAACATTTTTAGTTGGTGTCCAGATCCAGATGCAGCAGATCAAGATGCATTCCTCCAATGCTGGAAAGAAGGAGTCAATTATGCATTTCCCCATTTGCGATATCTTGGGTACTTCTAAAAGCATGGTCTCAGAAATCAACCCTAGTGTTAATAACCCCTATCTGGCCATCACAACCATGGATCCCTCAGCTTCTCAGCATGCTGATAGATTACCCACAACTCATACAGATGCGTTGGGATGTTCTTCGTGATCCAGATGGAAATCTTCATCCTCTAGTAATATCAGGCCAACTACCTTTAATAGCATTTCTCATCTCGGGTCATAAGAATCTCGTAGTGAATTTTCAAACTCAACTAGAGACATTCTCTCAGAAGCATAGGCACCAGGTACCCCTGCAAATTACAGATCAGCCTGGAAAATTTGGCTTAATTGGTGTATGGGCTGTGGGTCCTGTACATTTAGCAAACATTCAAAAAATTTTGTCAGCCTCATTTAATTCAGGCAAAGCTTATCGCACCATTAATGTCTATCGATCAGTTATCTCAGCAAATCACGACCCTATTGAATCTTTCGCTGTGGGCAAACATCCCTTAGTCTGCAGACTTATGAAGGTTATCAGATTTAAGCATCCTCCATGCACTAAATATCATTCTACTTGGGATGTTACTCTGGTACTCCAGTTAATAGAATCGTGGAGTGACAATGACTCGTTATCCTTAAAATTGCTTTTGTTTAAGGTTACCACATTACTATGCCTCAATTCATTTAAAAGAGTTTCTGACGTTAAGACTTTAGACCTAAATAATAGACAATATCCCTCCCATTAACCTACCCTTTTCTTTATGTTTCAGCTTAATCCCGTTTGGAGTTTCATTCTTAACCTTGGAGTTTACTCTACTAGATACTTCTTCTAGATTCGCAGCTCGAAAGAGGAAGAATATTGGGGATCATTCACTATATAGACAATGCCAAATACTGATTGGTTACCAAGTGTTCCATCTCAGTTACTCAGTTTTTTGTCTATAATTCACTATACTTTATTGAAAAAAATGTCTTTGCTGCAGGAGTAAAGAATGTTAATGCATAATATGAGCCAACCTGTCTTTCTATAAAATTAGGTTTTATCTCCTTCATACTTTTTACTTTGGTAGCAGACACTCAGAATCAGATTTATATGTGTATAATACATTTTATTTTGCTGACACCAGTCTAGTTTAGAGGAAATATAATTTGAAGTTGCTGTGTTGAGCTGAAACTAATTGTAATTAATGTTGACCTAAGAATCATGAGATTTGACTTCATTATTAAAAATACATGGATGATTTGGTTTTTATGCATAATTGTCTGCAAAAGACTGCTTCTTGATAGAATTTATGTTTAGAAATCTCCTTGCTGATCACAACCTTTGCTTTCTGTATTAAGATCAATAAATAATAGATACTAGATACTTCTTCTAGATTCGCAGCTCAAAAGAGGAAAATTATTGGGCATCATTCACTATATAGACTATGCTGGATTCTGATTGGCTATTGAGTGTTCCATCTCAGTTACTCTGTTTTTTGTCTTTTATTCACTAAACTTTATTGAAAAATCACCTTTGCTGCTGGAGTTAAGTAAAGAAAGTTAATGCATAATACTCGGCTCCTGTCTTTAATAAAATCTATATTTTCTGACGTCAAGACTAGGAAAATCTTGAAATGGATATCACACACTCTCCTTTCAAACATGTCACAGCCTTACAGCTGTTATGCACCACCGCCCCCTGATTTTTCCCCCACCACAGTCACCAGAGACTAGAAAAAAACAACAAAGTTCTGTATGACTTTTAGGTTGACAGTTTCTTAATTAAAGAACAACTCAGGTTCATAGATATATAAGCAAAAACAAAAAAAGACCATTTCCGTGCTGATAACCAGTAATTCCATTTGGGGATTCCCTCTGTAAGTTGGGGCCAGAATTAGTGGCTCCAAAGTGACCAATGCTCTATTTGCAGCACTCATGAATGCAGCATGCAGCATGCAGCATTTAAGTAGGGTTTTAAAGCCACAATTAGTGGCCTCAGATTGATTGATGAGCTCTATGCATCAAATCGATTAAGAATATGATCATGTTCAGCCACAGTAATTCTCTATGTGCAGGCGATGCAAAATATCCCTCCATTTCCTTTTCTCTCTGTCCACTGTTGTTTGATGGACATGATCAAGGCATTTTTGTAGCTTTAATCCTGCTCTCAAGGTCTTCCATTTCTCCAAGCATGTAAGATTCTGCTCAGAACTCTCATGATCAGAAACCTTTGGGTTCAGCTTCCACCACAATTGAAACCCAGTAACAAAACTGGGTGCCCCTGTTACTTTGTCATCAACAGCAAAAAGTCTGCAGCAAAAACAAAACAAACTTTGTTTTGATGGAGAGTACACCATCCATGTTCTAAGAATTTTTTCGCCATTAGGCAGAGCCTTATAGAACCATGCAGTGGTCAGCTGTCGACTCTTCCCCTTTGATTTCTCTCCTTGGCTTTCAACAGGACTGAATAGCCCATCTCTATTTTGGAAAGGTTTACTTCCCCTCTTAAAACATCTGGAACTGGAACTGGAACTGGCTAAGCAGCCATCAGAACAAACTGACAGTCGAACAGTCTCCTCTTCTTCTTCTTCTTCTTCTTCTTCTTCATCATCTTGCTGATGCAGGCTTCTGCTGGCATCTCCTTCGTCTACATCACTTTCACCGCTTGAAGATAAAATGATCTTCTCCAATTCTTGCGCTTTCACATATGAAGCTTCTTGAGAAGCTACTTCAGGCATTTCACCTCTGGATTCAACAGACGGAATGTCTTCAGCACTTTCTCCTACTACGGTAGATGTTGAAGGTGCAACATACTTTAAAATTGATCCAGATATTGTCGCAGCTGACTTTTCTCTTACCTTCTTAATTTTTCGTTGCTGAGACCAGTGGTGTATTTAGGATTTGGGCTGCCCTAGGCAGGACGGTGCTCAGGCAACCCCCAATTTAAATTTTCCCCACCCCTTCCTGTCAAGGCCACACTTTGACAGACGCTCACTCACTGACAGATGCACACTCACTGACAGACGCATACACTCATTGACAGACACACACTCTCATATACACTGACAAACAATGAAATACACACACACTATTACTTGGACACACACTGACAGATGCACACACTCACTGACCGACACATACACACTCACTGACCCACACACACACATTCACTCACAGACACACACTGACAAACATACACACTGACATACACACACTGACAGCCAGACACACACACACACACACACACACACAATCACTCAGTTACACACTGACAGACATACATACACAATCACTCACATACACACTGACAGACATACACACACTGACAGCCAGACATACACACTGACAGACATACACACACTGACAGCCGTGCACACACAATCACTCAGACATACACACACTGACAGTGTGTTAGTTTCAATCCACCCAGCCTCCCTACCTTTGGGAGTGCGGGTGGATTTTTTTTTACCTAGGGTCCCTTCAGACAGGAAGGGAGGCAGGCGGGCAGCTAACTAAGAATCCATGCGGGCGGGCGGCGCTGTGTCCTTAAGCACTGATTAGTGAGCTCTCTGCTCAGCTTCCTAGCACGCCGCAGAGTGCTGCTGTGAGCCAGAATATGATGTCATATTCCGGCTCCCAGCATCACGCTGCAGCGCGCTAGGGAGCTGAGCAGAGACCTCACAAATCAGTGCTCCCTCGCCAGCGTCGCCCGCATGGATTCTTAGTTAGCCGCCCGCCTGCCTGGATTGTTTGTTAGCCAACAGGCTAACAAGATATTTGCCTGGGCATTTGGGGGTGGCGTTTTTTGGCGCCCCCTGGAAATTGCCGCCCAAGGCAAATGCCTTGTTTGCCTCGTGGCAAATACGTCCCTGGCTGAGACCCACTTGGTCGATTTAGCTTCATATTGGTGTTTTCTGCAAAAAATCTAAATTTATTTTGGTTCCAGGGTTCGTTAGTGTGATATCTGTCTTATATTTCCCATCTTGGCATACCATTTGTAAAAGTGGAAAACACATATTTAAAATTGGTTATGTCCAGTATTTTTTAGTACAGTAAAAATGAAAATCCAGCGCACTCTCTTATCTACTAAACAGCTACTTTAGTGCTGACCGATTTTGTACATTTTATTAAAAACACCTAATCTAGATAAAAAATAATGGGGGTTTAGTGACATTATATGATCATATAATGCCAAAGATGGGGTACATTGACTTTGTGGCAGGCTTAGGAAATGTATGATCATATAATGTAACTAAACCCCCATTATTTTTTGTCTAGATTAGGTGTTTTTAATAAAACGTACAAAATTGGTCAGCACCAAAGTAGCTGTTTAGTAGATAAGGGAGTGCGCTGGATTTTAATTTTTACTGTACTTATTGGCTCCCAGCGGCACCCCATTTAAGAATGTTCAGGTAAGTGCAGCCAACCCCTTGTTTTCTCAGTATTATTCTTTAGTAGTCACAAACCGTGGGCAAACTTAGTGTTCACATTTATTTATTTTTGTATTCTCACAAAAACTGCACTCTCACTGATATCAAAATTATACAGTTTACTGTTTTCAAAACACTCATATTTGTGTTCAGTGATGTCCCATGAGTACAGCAGTATAAAACAAATAATATATATATATAATATATATATATATATATATATATATATATCATATTTATTTATTATTTAGTTCTAATTAAGTTTTATATTTCATTATTATTTTAGGTCATGGCACCCCACTAGTCTGTGGCACCCAGGGCGGGCCACCCCCTCCCCCGCCCGCCTTAGTACGCCCCTGATGTCAAGTCAAATTAGAGCCCTTTTTCATTTAAAAATCAGTATATAACATGTGTTAGTGCAATAAATGAGAAAGTGGAAAATTGAAATTGAAATGAGAAAATGAAAATTGTGGTTGAACACACGCATAGCAAAAATGCCAAAATTGCTTGTGTCCTTAAGTACAAAATTAGTAAAGGGAAACTGTGTCCCTAAGGGATTATGTATAAGATTATGTACTCCAAACAAATTTATATAAAAATATTCTTTGTGCAGTAATCTCACAGATGATTTTTGTCCAAATAATATAGATTAACTCATCTATTCTTATGAAAATGTATAGTAATTTAAAATTTTTACATTGATACACATTTTGCTTTCTAAAAATAAAGAGATTAGGCCTTCTTTTTTATTAACATACTAAAAGTACAGAGTCCCAACATACAAATCAGTGACATCAGATTTAACATGTATGTATTAACGGTCCTTAGGATGATCAGGCTTTACATATACACTGATCAGTCACAACATTAAAACCGCTAACAGGTGAAGTGAATAACATAGATTATATTATTATAATGGCATCTGTCAAGTGGTGGGAGATATTAGGCAACAAGTGAATGGTCAGTTCTTGACTTTCATGTGTTGGAAGCAGGAAAAATAGGAAAGCAAAAATATCTGAGTGACTATGACAAGGGTCAAATAGTGATGACTAGAAAATAGCAAGTCTTTAGGGATGTTTCCTGTATGCAGTGGCCAGTATCTATTAAAAGAAGTACAACCGGTGACCCAGCATCAAGGTCATTGGCCCCGTGGCACGTGAGGAGGAAAGGTCCATCTGATCTGATCACACAGGAGAGCTACTGTAACTTAAGTAGCTGAAAAACATAATGCTGGCCCTGATAGAAAGGTCTCAGAACACAGTGAATTGCAGTGTTCTGTGTATGGAATTGCACAGCCGCTGACCGGTTAGAGTGCCCATGATGACCCCTGTCTACAACCGAAAACTCCTTAAGGGGGACATGAGCATCATAATCTGTACCATATAACAATGGAAACAATGGAAAAAGGTCTGGTGAATCATGTTTTTTTTTTAGATCAGATGGATGGCTGGTTGCCTACGCATTGTTTACCTGCGTTGTTTACCTAAGATATGGCAGCAGGATGCACTATGGGAAGAAAGCAGTGTAATGCTTTGGGTAATGTTCTGCTGGGAATCCTAGGGTCTTGGCATTCATGAAGATGTCACTTTGATACATACCACCTACCTAGAGCTTGTTGCAGACCATGTACAACCTTTCATGTCAATGTGTGCCAAGGGCTTGAGAGACATGACAAAGAGTTCAAGGTGTTGCTTTGGCCTCCAAATTCCACAGATCTCAATCGTATTGAGCATGGCATGTGCTGGAACAACAACGTGACCAGAACTGCCAGAAGGAACAAACATGCCAAAAAATGGGCATGTCTGCATTAAGATTTAGCTGGTCAGCCTGGCGTTAATGCATGTCAGGCCGCCTGCCAACCAAGGGCATACCAGATGACCAACCAAGGGCATACTGTGCAGACAGCACCCTGAGCTTGGCATAAATGTGTCTAATGATGCGCTCGCTTCACGCTTTCTAAGGACTGTCCCCTATCACTCACTGGTCCACTCCTCTCTTAACCTTCTTACAAGCAGGCAGAAGCTCCTGTTATAAAGTCTGGGACAGAGAAAAAGTGTATGAGAGACTGCCCCAGTGTTAGAGAGACTGAAGCAGCAAGAGCATTTGCATAGTGCGCAAAGTCAGCTTTACATTAACTAATTTCATTGTTAGCCACACTAGTGGCTTTACATTAACTAATTTCATTGTTAGCCACACTAGTTTTGTTCCCCTGCACCCCTCTTAAGTTACCATACTTAAGCAAGAGTATGTGAAGAGTAAAAAAAACTTTTTTTTTAAATCATAGAAACATACATAGAATGTGACGGCATATAAGAACCATTCAGCCCATCTAGTCTGCCCAATTTTCTAAATACTTTCATTAGTCCCTGGCCTTATCTTATATATAGGATACCCTTATGCCTATCCCATGCATGCCTAAATTCCTTCACTGTGTTAACCTCTACCACTTCAGCTGGAAGGCTATTCCATGCATCCACTACCCTCTCAGTAAAGTAATACTTCCTGATATTATTTTTAAACCTTTGCCCCTCTAATTTAAAGCAATGGGCCTATTTCAGGCATGGGCATGGAGCTGCAGTTCCATCAGCCCCTATGTTAATTCGGCCCTTAGGTCACATTCAGGGGTCTTGTGGAGTCCATGCCTCAAGACATTAGAGCTGTTTTGGCAGCACGTGGGGGACCTACACAATATTAGGCTGGTGGTTTTAATATTGTGGCTGATCAGTGAAGGTCAGCTATAGAATAATAAGTAAACAAGCCAAGGTCAAAGGCATACAGAGTAGCAACAAAACTTGAGGACAGGCCAAGGTCAAGACAGGAGAAACCAGTGATGTCAAGATAGAAGCCAAGATCAAAAGCAGATAAAGCAACAACACACAGGAATGTACTCTTGGGTAACTACGGACCACGGCACACTGAGCCCTGAATGAGCACATATATAAAGGGCGAGCATCTAACATCACCACAATGCTAAAATTTTATTGAAATTACACTGTACTCAAGACATTTTTAGCATGGGTTTTGTCCAGTGCCATTTTTTAATGCCAGGGGCATGGTATCAATACAGAGCTTAGGATTACTAGAAATACACTTTGCATCTATCTATATTGATGTCTTAGGGTAGCACATGTCTAGTAATATGTTGCTGGTCATGGAAACACAAGGATGATGCTCAGCATTGTTAGACTGTTGCTGAATAGAGGACCCTGTGTAAATACAGACACAGGAATGGTGCACAGCACTCTTCAATACAACAGAACAATGCCATCTAGAGGTGGAAATCCTGACACATACAGCTGGAAATATTA